TGCGTGCTAGTTCGGACCCGTTGCTGCGCGGCTACACGTGGCACGGAGTAGCTAGTTCAGATTAAGCTTCTAATCCGAACTAGCTGTACGCCTCGTGGACATAACCAAAGTTAGCAACCGCCTCGTGGAATGAGGAGTACAGCTAGTTCGGATTAGGAAGCCTAATCCAAACTAGCTACTCCATGCCGCGTGTAGCCGCGCGGCACGGAATTCGAACTAGCCGGCATTTAAAAATGGCGCCGGCCGGCTTCATTTGCAACTGCAGATGACTACATTACCCCCGCTAGTTCGAACTAGCGGGGTAGAGTAGACATACCCTTTGTGTCTTGAAAGCCCAACTAGATCTCCTTTTGGAAGGACCTTCCTTCCCCATATACAGAATACACCAGTTCTGTGAAAGGCGAATCATGCCTCACCAATTGATTAGAACTCTTTGAAGGGCTCAGCCAATTTGTGGGCAAGGAGACGCACTGGAGATAATGTTCTTGGATTTTTCAGACGAGCCTCTGGTGGGCTTTGCAATGGCTTTCTGAAAGTAAGCAGCCATGAAATAAGGCGGAAGGTCCTTGCATGGATTAGTGACCCATTAGAAGACAGGAAGCATAGAAGGTCGGTAGTCATAGTGGGGTGAGGTAAACAGGCAAGTGCCCCTCCTCTCCATCCTGGACACAGTGGTCTTCAACACATTCATAAGTGCCCTTATGAATTGGAAAAACATTGGAAAACAGAGAGGTGGCAAAGTTAGCAGACTATACAAATTCACTAAGGACACGAGCTAAGACCAGCCATATTAGTTCTGACTAACACTCCCTCTAGCCCAGTATTGTATTTTCCAACAGTAGCCAGAGCCTGATGTTTCAGAAGGAAGGAAGAGAACAGAATGATTTTTTGAGGGGTCGTCCTCCTGTTGCACATCTGGCAGTCAGAAATGTGGGGAAATCCAGAGCATGGGGTTGTATCCTAGACCATCTTGGCTAATAGCCGCTGATGGACCAATCCTCCAACAACTTCTCTAATTCTTGTTGGAAATCAGTTACAATTCTGTCCTTCATCACATCCTCTCATAACGACTTCTGATGGTTGACCACCCATCATGTAAAGAAGTACTTCCTTTTTTATTTTACACCTACTGCCTTTTCATGCTATGCTATGGGGAGGGGTAAATAGTACATCCCGATTCACTTTCTCCACACCATTCATGACTCCTTAGACCTCTCTTCCTCTTACTCATCCCTTTTGCCTGATGTAAAGCACTAATCTTTTTAGTCTTTCTTAACACAAGCTCTTTCATACCCTGATGTTTTTTCCTTATTTGCCTTCCTCTGCACCTTTTCCACACCTAATATAGCATTTTTTTAATCCAGTGGGGTACCCAGAATGGATGTTTGTTCTCTTGAGTACACTCCCATCTTGAGTACTAAGTCCAAAGCTGATTGTGCAGAGCTACAAAAAGATCCCACCAAAGTGGGTTCACAGGGCAACAAAAGGAGAAATGAAAATTGCGGTTGCAAAACTCAATGCAAAGCACTTTGGAAGACATCCTCCCAACTGGCTGTACAACAGGATGGCTCTAAATTGGGTTTTACAACTTTAGGAAGAGGTCTCGGAGTTATTGTGGCAAAACATTCACCCAATATGCAGCAGCGGTCAAAAAACTACCAGAACGGTAGGTGATATTGTGAAAGGGAGAAATCATAAGACAGTATGACACAGTTAATGCTGCATGGAGTTTTGCTTGCCCCGTTTTCTTGGAATGCTCTCTGGACACGTCTACACTACACAAAAGATCGACACTGCTGCAGTCCATCTTCCAGGGTTCAGTTTAGTGGGTGTTGTATAGACCTGGTAGATCGAACTCAAAGGGCACCTATGTTAGCACCAATCTCCTTCTTTCAAGGGGTTAGGGAAATTGACGGGAGCATTTACTCCTGTCAACCTCCAGCTGTGTGGACGGGGATTTCACATACATCGAATCCAGCTATGTAATTTACGAAGCTGGAGTTACGTATCTTACTTTGACCATCCCTTGGAGTGTAGATCAGATCTCTGAGAACTATGAAACCACAGTTGGGGAAGGGAGCTACAAGAAACAGAGCAGGAGAAAGAACTAGGAGAAAGGTGTTTCTCCTATGTAATACCACAGAAGTTGGGGTTCTCCTCAGGAATGTGGGAGAACCTGGTTTAAGTGCCAAGTGAGAAGAAAGCACTTAAACAAGGATCTGCCTTCGCCTCGATCAGTGTCCTGCCCACTGGGACATCAGCTATCCCATTGTGGGTCTCTCTGCATCTCTCCTGTTCAATCCTAAGAGCTTTTAGGAATCCAGCTCCATCTGAGAGTTACACCTATCACCTGTAGTGGAGTGATGCTGATTCGCTCCAGCTGGAGTTCAGGACTGCTGGATTTGGAAGAACTACACTTTCTTATCTGCTGGGAGGATTTGGTCCAAGTTCCCTGACACCAGCATTGGGAATGTCCTAAACACCAGACCTGAACCTGAGTTTCCCCAATATTTTTCTCAGAGCTGTTTTTATCTCCTTGTTTTGCAGGCTGTAGATGACAGGGTTTAACAGGGGGGTCAGGATGCTGTAGTGGATGGAGACCATTTCCTCCAGAACCACAGAGGACACGGAGCTGGGTTTGGTGTATTGGATAAAACCAGTCACGTAGAACAAGCCAACCACAGTCAGGTGGGAGCTGCAGGTAGAGAAGGCTTTCCGCCGGCCCTCCACAGAGCGCATCCGCAGGACGGTGGAGATGATATGCACGTAGGAGATGAGGATGAGGAGGAAGGAGCTGAGTCCGAACGCAAGCGCAGGAATGAGAAGCACCAGCTGCTTCCTGAGGGGCGAGGTGCAGGACAGTTGTAACAGTGGAGGGAACTCGCAAGTGAAATGGTGGATTTGATTGTTGCCACAGAAATGCAACTGGAGGGCAAAAACGGTGTTGATCAGGCCATTGAAGAAGCCCATGGACCAAGCACCAGCCCCCAGCAGAACACAGATGCCTTTCTTCATGGTCTCCGCGTAACGCAACGGGTCACAGATGGCCGCGTAACGGTCGTACGCCATGGCCGAGAGAGTGAACACTTCTGCACCGGCCGAGAGGTGGATACAGAACATCTGAGCAATGCAGCCGCAGACAGAAATGGTTTTGTGCTCCGACAGGAGGTTTAACAACAGTGTGGGCACCGTGACTGAGGAATAACAGGTATCCACCAAGGACAGCTGGAGGAGGAAGAAATACATAGGGGTATGGAGGTGAAAATCAGCTCGGATCGTCAGCACGATGAAGCCGTTTGCAAGCAGGGTGAAAAGGTAAATCACGAAAAACACCAGGAAGATGGATCGTCAGCATGACGAGGCCATTTGTAAGCAGGGTGAAAAGGTAAATCACGAAAAACACCAGGAAGAGGAAAATCTGCACCAGCGGGTCACTGGACAGTCCCAGGAGAACAAATTCGGTCAGTGTGGTTTGGTTTTCCATCGATATTTCCACCCAAGGCTCGGACCTGTAAGAGCTGAAAAACCAATTCACAGAAATGAGCAGGAACGTTCACATTCAATTGAAAAGACCAGTGGGGATTTTATCTGCTCAGTAAGGTGAACGCAAATCGAGGCTGGTTGTGTGAAAGGAACATTTTAAGCAGATTTAACGTAGAGAGAGCTGGCTGGAATTTGTGGGTATACATTGACGCAATATGGTGGATACACAAAAGAACTCAAGTGTCTACCTACCATAGACACCTAAATCCCAGATTCTATGCCCCGTTGGGGGTCACATATGCCCCATTCGGATGGGACCACGAGCAGTCTGCAGTGGTGTTCCCTTAGTCTGTCCTGCCGAAGCTGTGTCATTATGAATAATTAATTCAACACATATTGAAGCAGAGGATGGGGCCGTTACATCTGGGATGAGTCCTCCTGCCACCATGTATCAAATCTTATCTTCTCACTCTATTTTAGCAGGGCGAAATTTGAAATAAGCTACGCAACTTCAGCTACGGTCATTGCCTAGCGTAGGTCAAAAGAGCTTATTTTGAATTTGGACACGTCTACGCAGCACTTATTTCATAACTGAGCACTCTTCCTCCGACTTCTCTTACTACTGGTACAATGAGGGTTACGGGAGTCGGAATAAGACGTCCTCCGGCTGGACATTATTTCAACGATATGTCGAAATAACTGCTTGAGTGTAGATGCACACTTTGTTATTCTGAAATAACAGTTCTGTGTAGACGTAGCCTTTCTCTTCTCCTATTGGATAAAATCTCTTTAATTCAGACCAGTGATTCTAGACTCATAGACTCGTGGGACTGGAAGAGACCTCAGGAGTCATCAAGTCCAGCCCCTGGCCAAAGCAGGACCAATCCCAACTCAATCATCCCGGCCAGGAGGGTTTGGTCAAGCCGGAACTGCTCCATCCCTAGGGATGGAGTTTCTACCCCCTTCATAGGGAACCCATCCTAGTGCTTCACCACCCTCCTAGGGAAATAGCTTTTCCTAATATCCAACCTAGACCTCCCCCACTGCAACTTGAGCCCATTGCTCCTCGTTCTACCACCTCTGAGAACAGCCTCACTCCAGCCTCTCGAACTTCCCTGCAGGAAGTTGAAGGCTGCTCTCAAATCCCCCCTCACTCTTCTCTTCTGTACACTAAACAAGCCCCAATCCCTCAGCCTTTCCTTGTAGGTCATGTGCTCCAGCCCCCTAATCATTTTTGACACCAGTGGGGGATTAGTCCATTTTGAATAAAAGTCTCTATTGTTGTTGGCTGGGAGTATCCAATTGTTGCTGATTATTTTGTCGGAAAACCCTCTTTCGTCTCTGTCATCACGTCTTGCATTCATCCCAATTGAAAGCAGCAAACACCCTCCAAACAAACACCCTCCAAAAAGCGCGAGATTGTTGTAAAAAGAAGGATCTCACCGAAACATAATAGCTTGTTTTTTCCTAAATCAACTGAAGCTTTTTAGCACATCTGACTGTGGGAGACTTAGCATCTTGTATGTCTGAGAATCAGGCTGTCTGTACAATGTTCACCTCACCTGTGTTTGTTGGAAGGGAAGGGCTATTTTGACACCAATTTTTACTGGAAGTGGGAATGAAAACAACATTGTGTGTAACATGAAATCTATGTCTATCCCTGTCTAGCTCCCAGAATGAAATGAAACTTCCTCTATTGCCCCCGTCCCAATGATCAAGTCTTGCAAAAAAGGCCTACACAAAGCGATAGATTATTAAAAGAAGCTGATTTTGCAAAATGTTTATTCCTAATCCGAACACCATCTTCAGAAAGTGCCCACTCCCCTCCACATACACAGCCAAACACATGCACAAACACACAGCAAAAATAGAAACTACTGCAAACATCACACACGCTCAGAGGTGTGTGGACTTCGTTGGGTTTTTCTGGGATGCCTCTAGTGTTCCGGAAAAAACCCGCAGTGTAGACACAGCTTCAGAGACAAAATAGAACTTACTGCAAATGTGCATCACACACACACACACACACACACACATACACACATATGCAGTCAAAATAGAAACTATTACTAAAATGCACCAGACACACAGACACAAACACACACAAAAAAAGCAAAAATAGAACCTACTGCAAATGTGCACCACACACACACACACACACACAAACACACACACACACACAGCCAAAATAGAAACTTTTGCAAACATGCACCACACACACAAACACACAGAAACACACCCAAAATAGAAATTACTGCAAACATGCACCATAGACACAGACACACACACACACAGAAACGCAGCCAAAATAGAAACTATTGCAACCATGCACCACACACAGACACAGACACACACCCAAACAGAAACTTTGCAGACATGCACCCGCTGATCTCAGTTGTCTCAGTGCCGGCTTGAGAAATGGGGCGGGGGAAGGGAAAGGGTCCCTCATGCTGTTACTGAGCCTGTCTCCGCAGACCACAGCTTCCTGGCAGAAGTCTATGGGATGCTGGAGAAAGCCTCCCCCACGTCTCCACCCCCGACCCGGGCATGAAGAGGTAATTCTGGCCCCTTGAAACAGGAAGGACGAAGTGGGTGAAAGGGGAGATTAACTATGAATCAACTCACTTGCCTTTTACGCTCCGCTGTGGTGAGCTCACTCCGGCCTGTGGTTTCCTCTTTCTGCTTCCTGTCTGATCTACCCCAGGGAGCAGAAACACAGCCAAAATAGAAACTACTGCAAACGTGCACCCCTCCCACACACACACAGCCAAAATAGAAACGATTGCAAACATGCACCATAGACACAGACACACACACACGCAGAAACACAGCCAAAATAGAAACTACTGCAAACGTGCACCCCTCCCACACACACACAGCCAAAATAGAAACAAACAGAAACTTTGCAGACATGCACCCGCTGATCTCAGTTGTCTCAGTGCCGGCTTGAGAAATGGGGCGGGGGAAGGGAAAGGGTCCCTCATGCTGTTACTGAGCCTGTCTCCGCAGACCACAGCTTCCTGGCAGAAGTCTATGGGATGCTGGAGAAAGCCTCCCCCACGTCTCCACCCCCGACCCGGGCATGAAGAGGTAATTCTGGCCCCTTGAAACAGGAAGGACGAAGTGGGTGAAAGGGGAGATTAACTATGAATCAACTCACTTGCCTTTTACGCTCCGCTGTGGTGAGCTCACTCCGGCCTATGGTTTCCTCTTTCTGCTTCCTGTCTGATTAGCCCGCCTGTCTCTGGACCACGAGGCCTTGGGCAATCCGACTTGCCGCACGCAGAGTCGGGAAGCTCTGCAGGATGGGCAGGGCTATCAGCAGGCCTCTCCCCATGCGACTCCTCGCTTCAGAGCTGCTTTTGAGAGCCGTTTAAATTCCACCTTGTTCCCCTGGGCCTCCATCCCCAATATTCCTCCTTGGTTTGAAACTATCAGCCACCCGAGGCTGCCCCGACGCTTAAGCGATGCTCTGTAGGGTTTGAGAGCGAGGAGGAGGACTCGGAACACTAACCAAGCCCGAGTAATTTGGGCATCAATCTTAGGGACTGTCAATAGAAAACGACAGGTATCTAGGCTCTGGATCTCAAAGCCTGTGAAGATGGGAGATACACACATTGTGAGGTTCCGCAGGGGTCTGTTTTGGGACCAGTTCTGTACAATATGTTTAGATGATATCATAGAGAGGACGCTTATTAAGTTTGCAGATGATCCCAAGCTGGGAGGAGTTGCAAGACCTTTGGAGGATGGGTCATAAGTCAAAATGATCTGCACAAACTGGAGAAATGGTCTGAGGTCAACAGGATGAAGCTGAATAAGGACAAATGCAAAGTGCTCCACTTAGGAAGGAACAATCTGTGTCTCACACACAGAATGGGAAGCAACTGTCTAGGAAGGAGTCCGAGTTAAATATGAGTCAACAGTGTGATGCTGTTGCAAAAAAAGCCAACATGATTCTGGGCGGCATGAACAGGAGTGTTGTGAGCAAGACACGAGAAGTCATTCTTCTGCTCTACTCTGCAGTGACTAGGCCTCAGTTGGAGTATTGTGTCCAGTTCTGGGCACCACCTCTCAAGAAAGATGTGGAGAAATCGGAGAAGGTGCAGAGAAGAGCAACAGGAATGATGAAAGGTCTAGAGAAAATGAGATAGGAGGGAAGACTGAAAAAACTGGGCTTGTTTAGTTTGGAAAGGAGATGACTGAGAGGGGACAGGAGAGCAGTTTTCAGGTATCTAAAAGGGCGCCACTAAGAGAAGGGAGAAAAATTGTTCTCCTTGGCGTCTGAGGACAGGACAAGAAGCAATGGGCTTAAACTGCAGCAAGGGAGGTTGAGGTTGGACATTCAGAAAAACTTCCTACCTGTCAGGGTGGTTAAACACTAGAATAAATTGCGTGGGGAGGAGTTGTGGAATCTCCATCACTGGCCAGATTTAAGAGTAGTTTGGATAGACACCTCTCAGGGATGGTCTAGACGGTGCTTGGTCCTGCCAGAAGGGCAGGGGACTGGCCTGGATGAGGTCCCTTCCTGTTCTAGTGTTCTGTGATTCTATGATTCTACAGAAAATTGTTTCAGCCCCATTCACTTAAATCACCTAACCTCAAACGACTACAAAGCGACAATTTTTGAGAGAGCTTATGTAAAAGTCTAGAATGCTAGATACTTAGATTGTGAACTGGAACACCTCGTATTTAATAAAGATTTCGATTTAATCAGCATCATCTATTATTAGGGGGAGTGAGCATAATCAATGGGACACAATAATATAAAGGTAAAAATTATATTGGAAAGACGGAATAAGTCAAGCTAGTGGACATTGGGCTGCATTAGGAGGAGCGTTGCCAGCAGATCCAGAGAAGTGATGATTCCCCTTTATTCGGCACTGGGGAGGCAACATCTGGAGTATTGCGTACAATTCTGCCCGTTGGCCCCATTACAGAAAGGATGTGGGCACATTCGAGAGAGTCCAGCTGAGGGCAACCAACTGATGAGGGAGCTGGAGCACATGACCTATGAGGAGAGGCTGAGGGATTTGGGCTTGTTCAGTCTGCAGAAGCGAAGAGTGAGGGGGGATTTGAGAGCAGCCTTCAACTTCCTGAAGGGGGGTTCCAAAGAGGACGGAGAGAGGCTGTTCTCAGGTGGCAGAACGTTGAGCAATAGGTTCAAGTTGCAGTGGGGGAGAGCTAGGTTGGATATTCAGAAAAATGATTTCCCTAGGAGGGTGGGGAAGCACTGGGATGGGTTCCCTAGGGAAGTGACGGAATCTGCATCCCTAGAGGTGCTTAAGTCCTGGCTTGACCAAGCCCTGGCTGGGATGATTGAGTTGGGGTTGGTCCTGCTTTGGGCAGGGGGCTGGACTTGAGGTCTCTGCCAGCCCTGGGAGTCTCTGAGTCTATGATACTCAGCCCAGTTCTGAAGGAACCTAAATGTGAAAGTGTAGAACTACAAGCTGTGATCATCAACATATGTACCCGCTGACTGAAGGATAGCAAATGCGATGACTGTTATTTAAGGCTCCGCAGGTGATCCTGGCAACTACAGGCCGCTTAGTTTAACATCAGAACCAGGCAATTTGATTGAAATTATAGTGAAGTTCAGGCTCATTAGACTCAGGCATGCTCTACACTAGGACCTTTGTCCAAACAGACTCCCTTCCAAGTTTGAGTTTGTAAGCAGTGCGTCTACACTACCTGTTAGTGTAGTGCCTGTTATTTCGAAATACAGTAAAACTCCAATAGTCTGGCATCCAATAGTCCGGCACTCCTGATAGTCCGGCATCAAAATGGCAAGAGCTTAGTGAATGAGCTTCGGCAAAAAATGAGTCACAAGGTAACAGCGGCAGCAGCTGAACTGAGCAAAAAGGATAAAAAAGGCTTAAAAAACTAAAACATTACAGTATATTGTATACAGTATGTACAATAAAAAGGGTTAAGAACACTTTATATACAGTATATAATGTATACAGTATATATATAACCATCTTATAGTACCTCCTGATAGTCCGGCATATCTGATAATCCGGCACCACCTAGGTCCCATAGGTTCCGGATTATCGGAAGTCTACTGTAACGGGCTGCGGAATTTGAACTCCGCACTCCTGCTTTTCATCAGGAATGAAGCTAATTCCGAACTTGTACATCTGAAATACCGTCAGCGTGAAAGCTCCGGTGCTACTAATTTGAACTAATCGGCCTCTGGAGGTCTCCCGCAGTTGTCAGCTCTGACCGCTCTGGCCACGCCTGGCATCTCCACTGCTCTCTGCGAGTGATCAGCATTCCGTGACATGAGCAGCCCCAACATCACCTGAGATACTTCGATGGCTTCCAGCCCTTCTGCTTCTACAGGAGCTCCAAGCTGGACTGCTACAGAGATCCTGGACTTCATCAAGTTCTGGTGGAAAGAGTCCAGCCTCCAGGATCTCTGCCCCATAACTAGCAGGATCTCCGCCCCAGGCTTGCTCCCAGCCTTGCGGAGAAAGGCCACAGCAGGAACCTGGAGCAGTGCAAGCTCAAAATCAAAGAGCTGAGCCAGACCTACCAGAAAGCCAGGGAGCAGAGCAGATGCTCTGGGGTGCCACCTCACACCTGCCTCTGTTACAACCATCATGGCAGGGGCACTGGTCACCTCCCCCACCGTGGTCATCCAGTGTGGTCAAGACATGCCTGGCATCAGCCTGCACGAGGGCGAGGTTGCAGAGGAGGAAGAGGCCAGCCAGTCAATGATGCCCAAGAGCCAGGAGCTGGTCCTCACTTTGGAGTTGCTCCCCTCCATCCCAGGACGTCTCCCAGGCTTCCGACCACCCCAGGGGACTGGAGACGGGCATTGCGGGAGGGGGGGAGTGGCGCAGGAGCCGAGGCTCACCGGACGCTGCGGCTCACGTGGAGTGCTGGCGGAAGTGCTGCTGACTGCTTCCGCTCTCCTCCTCCCCACGGGAACCGGCTTGTGGGGGGGAGCCGGGGTTGGACTGGCTGGCTGTGCAGCACCCCGGGCGGGCGGGCGGGCGAAAGGTTACTGGGGGGGGATCTGCAGACAGCGACCCCTCCCCCATGCTGAGCCCCCTTTTCCTGCGGGGTTAGACCATGGGCTGCGAGGTGCTGCATGCTCCTTTCTCAGCCTAATCAGCATGGAGGCTGCCCAGCAGCGTGTTCACATGACTACAGACGGAGCACCAGTCTGGAGCTCTCCGCTCCATGACGCTCTCACACAGGAACCCCTCACTCCTTCTCCCAACAGCGACCCCTCCCCCATGCTGAGCCCCCTTTTCCTGCGGGGTTAGACCATGGGCTGCGAGGTGCTGCATGCTCCTTTCTCAGCCTAATCAGCATGGAGGCTGCCCAGCAGCGTGTTCACATGACTACAGACGGAGCACCAGTCTGGAGCTCTCCGCTCCATGACGCTCTCACACAGGAACCCCTCACTCCTTCTCCCAAGGTCCCTGGAGAGACCTGCCTGACTCCAGCCTCTGTGGGAGGACACCCTCCGGCCACAAGCCACCAGGAAGGAGGCGGGGGTCATGAGGCACACACAAACAGCGCCGCATTTGGTCACCTTTCTCTCCCCATTAGGCGTGGCGATGTGGAGAAGACTGATATTGTGCCTGGGAACCTGCTGAGAGGAGGAAGAGGAGGGGGAACCCGTTAGCACTCTCACTGTCAAAAGGCCTCTGCCGCTCACAAACACCTCCCCAGCCTCCAGCAGGCAGGGAGAGAAGTTCTCTCTCTGCAGGACCCCTCCGCTGCCAGACCCGGAGTGTGCAAAACAGTAGGAAGCTGAGCTGCCTGTCCCCCACTCCTGCTTGTGAGCTCCTGGCCTGGCCAGCACCTTCCCATACCTGCTTGTCCCTGGGCCAAAGCGTTATGATGCTCCTTGGCCTGTCTCTTCCCTATCTAGGCAACGTAAGGCCTTTCTAGAAGCACATCGCCATCGTCTGAACCAAGATCTTCGGTGTTGGCTTGGAGATCAGGACCAGGTGTCTCCTGGGGTGACGGTCCTTGTCACTTTTCTTCACCACTGGGTGAGTTCCCTACCTCCCACCGCATCTACTTGCCTGCATGGGATCTGCAGCCAGCAGTCCCCATCCAGGGGCTCAAGTCTGGATCAGGTTGCTAAGAGAGGAGAGCGGCGGGTGAGCAGACTTGGAGGAGAAGAAGGGCCACATAGGAAGAGCTGGGGCACCAGCAGAATATGTTTTTGTTCCTCACCGCGGTGATGTAGCATGTGGCATATTCCATGGAGCAGGCCACCAGCCGCCCTCTTCTACGCCTGCCCGATGGCATCCCCTGCCAGGGTCCCCACGGGCTGCTGGGCCTCCAGAACACTGTGGGGGGGGGAGCCCTCTAAGCCAGCCAGAACCTCCAGGCCACATGGAGGCAGATGTCAGCCCCAGCCCTGTCCCTGAGTCCCCCTCCCCAAGGCAGTGTGAGCAAGGGGATGTGAAGCTGAATTGAGTCCTACTGGCTCTCTCTTAGCCCTGGTCCACACTAGGGTGTTATTTCGAAATAACTCCCATTAGATCAAATTAATACGTGGAGTGCCACCTCTATTGAGCCTGTACTTTTGACATAACGGGCCGCTTATTTTGAAATCTGGACTCCTGCATTCCCTGGAGAAGAACACTAGTTGTGAAATAGTTATTATAGATGCTCGGGTATGGCTATTTTGAAAGAGCTCCTCCCCAGAGTCATTCGAACTAATTCCTCCGCAGGGCTTCCCGGGGGCTCTAAGTCTGAGGTAGAATGTCCCCATTAATGGAGCCTGCTTTGGACTCATTTCAAGGCTTCTCTGTGGTGGGGACACGCTCGTTCCATATTGTTAAACTGGGAGTGATTACGTTGTATTTAGTTATTTTGAAACCGTTTCCTAGTGTGGACGTGGCCTTCCTGTGCCACCAGGGGGGTGGATTGGTAAGCAAAGCGGGGCTGCTTCTAGCAATGAGGCACGCAGGCTGAAAAATGAGGGGACATTCTCGTTTATTTCTGTAATATTCATCACACAGAAGGAAAGAGGGTTGGAAAGTCGTATTGTCACACACAGCACAAACACCCCCACCCACGACTTAGGAATGAACACGCAATAAAAAGCTCCTGATTCTAAGGAACCATGCGGATTCCAACCTCTGGGAACATGGAGTAACACCATCAGCATCAGTGCGGTTACCCCACATCTCCTCAGGGTGGGAACGAGACTGAGGCCTCGCCACTCACCAGGAGTCTCTTATCTCATCTCCTTTCCTTCCGAAAACCAGGAGACACCCCGGTGAGATCCCGCAGAGGCGGGTACTCGTCAGGCAATGGCCAGGCCACAATCTGCGCAGCACCCCTGTGGGCCCGATGGCAAGTGTGAAAGAGCGGGACACTGTTTTGGGTTGCAGGGACATTTGTGTGCACAAGACAAAGTCCCTCCTAGCACAATGGGCCCCGTGATATCACGTGATGGAGTCAACCTAGAGTGATGCCGTGTGAACACCGATGCACTAATGTGTCTGTATGAGCATCTTAGCAACTCTGTCTCTGGTCTGTAACCAATTGGCTATGAACGTATCCCACTATGTCACCAGGAAATACCCTATAGCTAGTTATCTGTCTAGTGAGCATCACATAGTAGCCACCCCCACACCTCCCTCCAGCTGTTTATCTGTTCATCTGTCATAACCTATTAATCTAGCATAAGATATTATATATGAATCTATTATCATAACCTATAATATATGAATTTATCTATCTAGCTTTATCGCTATTAACTATTGTATATTTATCCATCTAATAATGAAGTACTATCTAGCTCCTGACGTCCTCTCCCTCCCTCCATTCTTCCCTCCCTCTTGCTCTCCCATCTATCTATCTATCTATCTATCTATCTATCTATCTATCTATCTATCTATCTATCTATCTATCTATCTATCTATCTATCTATCTATCTATCTATCTATCTATCTATCTATCTATCTATCTATCTATCTATCTATCTATCTATCTATCTATCTATCTATCTATCTATCTATCTATCTATCTATCTATCTATCTATCTATCTATCTATCTATCTATCTATCTATCTATCTATCTATCTATCTATCTATCTATCTATCTATCTATCTATCTATCTATCTATCTATCTATCTATCTATCTATCTATCTATCTATCTATCTATCTATCTATCTATCTATCTATCTATCTATCTATCTATCTATCTATCTATCTATCTATCTATCTATCTATCTATCTATCTATCTATCTATCTATCTATCTATCTATCTATCTATCTATCTATCTATCTATCTATCTATCTATCTATCTATCTATCTATCTATCTATCTATCTATCTATCTATCTATCTATCTATCTATCTATCTATCTATCTATCTATCTATCTCCACACACCCATCTCTCCCTCCCTCTCTCCCTCGGGTCACGTTACTAATTGCAGGGCGACATTCACAAAAGGCCTTGGCTCCCAGCTGCCCTATTCCACAGGGGAAGCCCAGCCGCCGGGCCCCACTGGGATTCACCTGCCCCTCACGCAGCTGTGGCTGAAACCTGCCTTGTGTCAGGCGACACCTCAGCTCTGGTTTTAAGAGTCCCTGGGCCTTGGGACCTGGGCCGGGGAGATGGGGCTGTGGGACACAGGCTCTGAGGCAGAAATCTAGGTGCCTAGGAGATGCCCCGGCAACATCTTAGGTGCTGAGGGAGTTCTGTGTTTCACAACAGCTGAGCAAGAGTCTTGAGGTGCCGAAATCTGGGGCTCGGTGCCTAAATCCCTTTGTGAATCTAACCCACTTTTCCCTACTACAGTATGGTTCTGAATGCGCACAGTGTACAGCAGGGGTGGGCAAACACCAGCCTATGGCCGGATCGGATCTGCCAGGCCCCTCACTGGCGTATTTACCAGCGCCTCTGCAGGTACAGGGCTCACAGCTCCCATTGGTGGCAGATCACTGCTCCCGGCCAATGGGAGCTGCGGCCGCCCGTACCTGTGGAGGTGCAGTTGCGGCCGCCTGTACCTGTGGAGGTGCAGTTAAATACAGTGACCACGGCCCACCAGGGGCTAACCCCGGTGAACCGCCGCCAATGCATTGCCCACCCCTGGTGTATAGTGTCGTGTGAGAGTCAGGCAAAGATTTTTCTGTGTTTCGTGAACCTAAAAGAGAGGGGGTTTTAAAATCCCCTGGTGGGAGAAGACACAATCTTCTGGATCTGCTCCAGAATCTTGTCCTTGTTTTCAGCCACATTCATCTTCGCCTTGTTGAGGAGTTCTTCCATCTCTTGCCTTGTGTAGGACATACGAAGGGTGGGAAACGTGATTCTGGTCTTTGTAATTTCTTGTGGTCCTAGAAGAGGTGGGGAAGGGCAGAAGGGAGGAAAACAATGGTTTTTCTCACACACTTTTTCGGCACCCTAAAGCAAAGAATCAGTCGCCTAAAGAGGAGGAGAACAACATGGCCAACTCCTCGTGTTCCCATAGAATCACAGAAAAGTTGGGCTGAAAAGGAGCTTGGGGATAACACAAATGGGCTGGTAGCACTTTATAAAGTAACAAAACATGTCGATGGTGTGATGAACTTTCGTGGGCACAGCCCACTTCTTCAGATGACCGGAATTGGAGAACATTTCTGCTTGCCTAACCATAATCTGAAAGATCTGCAGGTGGCGGTCTTGTCACAGGACAGGTCCTCAAGCCAAATTCACAGAGAAAGCTTGGAATTACATAACATACACAAATTCAATTCACATGCTAATGGATTTAATCGTGATTTAAACTGGAGGAGACTCTACCACTGAACGTCCTACCAGCTCTCTGAGTGGTATCTGTAGGGTAAACTGAGGCAGCCCTAAATGTGCTAGTAGGCCTCTAAACAGCATGACTCCATCCTAGGATTAGGCCTGTGAACACTGCAGTCAGGACAAGAGCTGCAGGCAGTGAAACAACCCTGGGCACCATAGCAACCACATTCTAAGACACTCGGACAGGATCTTAGTTAGCAACGTATCACATTTTGCTTAAGATAACATTCATAAAATTTGTTTAAACTGTCTTGCTTCACTCCTAGAAAATAAGCCTGGGAACCAAGCGCTGAACCAACTCAAGGCCATACCCACCTGCTATAGAAACATCATCATCTATGCAGACTAAAATGTTATTACTGGTTTGCTGACATGTTTTGGCATTTGAACAATAACCACCTGCATATTAATTAATGAGTTGTTACTTTGCAATCAGCAGAGATATTATGTAATCTGTAGTAGTTCTATTGGCTTATATGCTCATTTCGTCTTGCTGCTAGACCTATCAAATCATTTTTCCTCCATCCATCCACCTGCTGACTATATAATCTATTGTATGTGTTAATTAACCATTGTTCACCAGCGTAACCCCTGCGTTGACCAGAGTTATGAGTAGGAGATATGAAAACTCGAAATAAATAGGAGAAGGGAAGGGGGGGGAGAGGATGACGCTTTGTCATTCCCTGCGTAGGTCATTAGGGGGGATGCGCACAGGGAATGTCGGTGGAGTTGCCATTTGGATGCAGAGGAAAGTTGAATGTTACGGAATTTCCTCTTCTGTGACATTCAAAGGGAAAAAGAGGTCATGGTGGGTCAGTCTCCCTTAACTCACAGCCCGCAACCTAGCAAGGAGCAAGGTAAATATCCCTGCGTCCACACATCTCAAATCCACCCAGCCCCTTCCGGGACTCCAAGGGTATGTCAAGACTACATGGCTCAGTCCACGGAGCCATGTAGATGAGTTTACTAGACATAGGGAAATGAAACGGCGATTTAAATAATCGCTGCTTCATTTACATCAAAATGGCCGCCGCGCTGTGCTGATCAGCCGGTTGGTGGCACACAACGGTAGTCTGGACGCACCGTGGTCGACAAGGGAAGCCTTTGTCGACTGCCCTGTTAAACCTCATTTCACGAGGCATAATGGAGCAGTTGACAAAGGCTTCTGTTGTCGATTGCAGAGCATCCATCAGCCGGTGTATAATAAATCCTCCGCTTGTTTTCACCTGCATCCAGAGTGTCCTGGATTATTTCCAACAGTATCCTTCCTGTTTTAGCAATCTATCTATTGACTTTGATCTTTATCTGCTTAGGATTAGCACCCATTCTCCAGATACTTAGGGTATGTCTAGACTACAGGGTTTTGTCGACAGAAGTTTTGTCGACAGATACTGTTGACAAAGCTTCTGTCGACAAAGAGCGTCTAGATTACAGCCAGTTCTGTCGACAAAGCAAACCGCTTTGTCGACATAACAGTGTGGATGTAAAGGACAGTGTAGATGCAATAATGCCTTCTATCGACAGAACTCTGTCAATAAAAGGCGTTATTCCTCGTAGAATGAGGTTTACATACGTCAACAAAACTGCTGAGTTTTGTCAACATTATGTTGACATAACTCAAAGGCAGTGTGGACACAGGTATAGTTTTGTAGACAAAAGTCCACTTTTGTCGACAAAACCCTGTAGTCTAGACACACCCCTAGAGAAAAAACAGGAAGGGGGTGGGAGACAAAGCGTCATCCTCTCCCCCCCTTCCCTTCTCCTATTTATTTTGAGTTTTCATATCTCCCACTCATAACTCTGGTCATCTGAAGAAGTGGGCTGTGCCCACGAAAGCTCATGATCCCATCCACATGTTTTGTTAGTCTAGAAAGTGCTACCAGACCTTTGGTTGTTTTTTTCTGTTACACACAAACTCTCTAAAATATGTTGGAGCTTCGGGGACTAGCCGAGTTGTCTGTCTGTGAGTCTGTCCAGCTGTCTGTGAGTCCGTATGTTCAAGAACTCTTCCTAAACGGTAAAAGCAAGGACCACCGCTTTTGGGATTCAGCTTCCTCTCATCCTAACTTAACGCAAGTTCAGGGTTGGGCTGAGCCAGGAGTTGAATGTTACGGAATTTCCTCTTCTGTGACATTCAAAGGGAAAAAGAGGTCATGGTGGGTCAGTCTCCCTTAACTCACAGCCCGCAACCTAGCAAGGAGCCAGGTAAATATCCCTGCGTCCACACATCTCAAATCCACCCAGCCCCTTCCGGGACTCCAAGGGTATGTCAAGACTACATGGCTCAGTGACCCGTACCCTGACCCTCTGCCCTCAGTCCCTCCCAGCAATGAGCCACCTAAGTACAACCCATTTACCTGGACAGTTTTTTGTGTTGAAAAGCGGGAAGTGCATGACGGTGGGAGTACCCTTTCCTTCGAAGATGTAGCAACTGGAGGGGTTGGCTAGGTCCTTCATCACTTCTGGATCTATCGGGGGGAATGGGATCTGATTTTCCTCACAATACTTGGACGCCCTCTTGAGGGTCTGGGGAGGAAGGAAAAGGTATTTTATAACTAAGGGTATGTCTACACTACCACCCTAATAAGAACTAGGGTGGTAGTGTAGACATACCCTAACTAACTAACTAATGACTCTTTCCACTAATACAATATGACTCCGCTAATATGGCCAGGCTGGAGAATGAAGACTACATTTAATCTAAGACACACAAGCATCCCCAGGAGTGTTGAAGGAACTGACCGAGAGAGGATGTCCCATGGAAACTAGTCTCAACCATTATATAACCACACATCTACAATGGCTGTGGGATTCAAAACCTGTTAATGGCCCAGTCCCTGCTAAAACGTATCCCGTCGGTGCCTTTGAGAATGTCCACCCAAGGTGATGAGCGGAAATCAAGACCCAGGCGCCCAGATCCAAAAGCACCGCTTGGATTTTTTTCTCTGGTTTGATTTTTCTCAAACTCGCCCGTGGGGATGTTTGTGTGGGAGACGCCCAAGGCCGCAACGTGCTCTGGTACTGGAGCCGCCCGAAGGAACCTGGAGTGTTGGTGAGTTTGGCTTGTTGGAACTGAACGATCCTTTCTGCTCCTTGGCTCTGTAGCTACCACTGGAAATTAAAACATGGCCAAGCCGAAGGGCTACCGGGTAGGTCATTGGGGGGATGCGCACAGGGAATGTTGGTGGAGTTGCCATTTGGATGCAGAGGAAAGTTGAATGTTACGGAATTTCCTCTTCTGTGACATTCAAAGGGAAAAAGAGGTCATGGTGGGTCAGTCTCCCTTAACTCACAGCCCGCAACCTAGCAAGGAGCCAGGTAAATATCCCTGCGTCCACACATCTCAAATCCACCCAGCCCCTTCCGGGACTCCAAGGGTATGTCAAGACTACATGGCTCAGTCCACGGAGCCATGTAGATGAGTTTACTAGACATAGGGAAATGAAACGGCGATTTAAATAATCGCTGCTTCATTTACATCAAAATGGCCGCCGCGCTGTGCTGATCAGCCGGTTGGTGGCACACAACGGTAGTCTGGACGCACCGTGGTCGACAAGGGAAGCCTTTGTCGACTGCCCTGTTAAACCTCATTTCACGAGGCATAATGGAGCAGTTGACAAAGGCTTCTGTTGTCGATTGCAGAGCATCCATCAGCCGGTGTATAATAAATCCTCCGCTTGTTTTCACCTGCATCCAGAGTGTCCTGGATTATTTCCAACAGTATCCTTCCTGTTTTAGCAATCTATCTATTGACTTTGATCTTTATCTGCTTAGGATTAGCACCCATTCTCCAGATACTTAGGGTATGTCTAGACTACGTTAAACCTCATTTCACGAGGCATAATGGAGCAGTTGACAAAGGCTTCCGTTGTCGATTGCAGAGCATCCAGACTGCCCCGCTGTGCCACCAAACAGCTGACCGGCACAGCGCAGTGGCCATTTTGATGTAAATGAAGCGGTGATTATTTAAATCGATGCTTCAGTTCCCTATGTCTAGTAAACTCATCTACATGACTGTCAATGGAGCCATGTAGTCTAGACATACCCTAAGTTGCTGTTGGTAAGAAAAGTTCAGCCTCCTCGAGTCACGGCTGATGGGCTGTGTCCCCAGGCCCTGCTTGATCCTGGGTCAGGTGTTGGGACCTCAAAGGATCCGTCGATGCAGAAGTCGAAGGAGAGGATCAGTCCCACGCGCCTGGCAGGGCGCAGGACCAGGGGGTAGGCGCAGTTGTTAGCCACGCCAGCGTCGATCAAGTTGAAGACTTCGCGCTTGTCCAAGCCATCGGCATGGACGTTGCCTGCGAAAAAAGGCCCCATGTCTTGATTTAGGCCTTCAGTGACTTGCTTGAGGCCGGCATCTGCCATGCCTGGTTTCAAAGGTACCAAAGGGGCCAATCAGCTCCGAGTGGGATGTTCTCAGGAACGGTCAGGAGTAAGGACCAGCAGCTACCTGCTTCTATGCTGGCCAACCACCGGCCACTTGGCTTTTGTCTCCAGCTTGAACCCTCCGCTAAGGATACCTGCTGTAACCACTAGACATGACTCCTGCCCCTACCTTTCCCATCCTGGTCACTGACAGGCGTCTAATTCCAAGTGGAAAGACTGGGAGTTAGGAGCTGAACCGGCTCGGATGCTCATGTAAGTACCAAGGTGTGAGAACCGCGAGGAAGTGGCGGGGCCCAAGGACACAGAGCGAGGTGAAGTAGGAATTGCAAAAGTGTCCAGGGTCCAGACTGGTAGAGGGCTTTAGGCACTGCTGTGCTTAGTGCCTAGGAGTATGTCTGCACTACAAAGGTAATTCAAAATAACAGCCGTTATTT